AACTCGTCGAGTCCAGGGTGGAACTCGACGAGTCCGAGCGAGACCCGGGTCGAAGAGTAAGTGGCCAACTCGGCGAGTCGGTTAGTGGACTCGGTGAGTCTGGTCTGGTTGAGGAAAACCCTAATCCTGGGGGTTGTGTCCTATTTAAATAACATCACATCCCTTCCCTAGCCTCTCTACTCCCCTTTTGAGATCCAAAAACCCTAAATCATGAGTGAGAGTCCTTAGGAGCAAATTGAAGATTAGATAAGGGATTTTGTGAAGAGAGATTGAAGATCAAAAAGCTTGGAGCAAGGGGCTTTGTAGAGAGTTGGATTATTCTTCAGTGGGAAGCCATGTTTGAGGTATTAAGCTGTTGCTTTGGCTTTATTACAATTAAATCTACTCTTGAATGAGATTGTGGGGCTATTTTGGTAAGATTGAGATCTATTTCGGGTTTGGGACTTAGATCTGAGGTTGCTACTTCAGATCTAGGGTTTTGATGGTCCAGAATGTCTTAAAGCTGAAGTTAATAAGTTGTTGGTGAAGCCCCTTTGTCACAAACCCTAGCCCTAGAGTGTTTTAAGGCCATAACTCTTTGGTTTCACATAAATTTTGCAACTTTATATGAGGAATAGACTTAGGAAGTGTGGATCTATGAGTTGGAGCTCCTGCATGGCTCGAAAAGCCACTATATGGATTAAGAACTGGAGCGACTCGACGAGTCACATGGATGCATGAACTCAGCGAGTTGGATGAAGGTGGGCATGGACTCGACGAGTTGGAAGAACAACTCGGCGAGTCTGTTGAAGATTGCCATGGACTCGGAGAGTCTGTTCTTGGACTCAGTGAGTCAGGTCGCGAAGCACTAACCCCTTCTAGTTAAGGCTCAGACCAGTGAGTTGAATGGTGACTCAGTGATCGTTGAACTCGATGAGTCTCGGGGTGACTCAGCGAGTTGAGTAGTATGTTGAGAGTGTCTGAGTTTAAGAACTCAGCGAGTCTATGAGTTGACTCGGCGAGTCGAGTCAACTGGAAGGTTGACTTGACCAGGGCTTTGACTTTGACCGGAGTTGACTTAGCTTGGCTTCTAGAGCTCAGTTTGGAACTAAGTGTTATGTTGATATTAGTGCTGGTGGAGCTAGTGGAGCAACAGCTCAGAGTGTTGTCGGTCAACAGCCAGAGGATCATCAGCAAAGTTCAGTAGTGCGAGGTGAGTCTCCTCACTGTTTGTATGGGTCTAAGGCACCAATGCCGGCCCATTTAGTTTATGTATAATAAGAAGACCTTGGGATTAGCCCTAGGCATTATGCATGAAAGACCAGGAGGCGGCTCCTGGCACACGGTAGATTATTATGTGTGGTAGGAAGACCCAGGGGTTAGCCCTAGGCAAATATGTATGAAAGACCAGGAGGTGGCTCCTGGCGCACTGTATGTTATTATACATGAAAGACCAGGAGGTGGCTCCTAGCACACTATATGTTGATTAGCCCAATAGAGTAGTATGTATAGTTGTCTTTGTGATACTTGCATGAAGGACCCGGGGGTGGCCCTTGGCACTTGTCTGTAAGACCCATGGAGTGGCTCCAGGCTTGACTAGGAAGACCACGTGTGGCCCGTGGCATAATGGAAAGACTATGTTTGGCACATAGCACCTTAGCAAGACTATGTTTGGCATATAGCACCTTACTTGAATACGGAGATGTTGCTT